GGGTGGGCCAGTCAAGTATTCGAGAAAATCTCGAAGGACCACTAACATTTTGGACTGGTATGAGAAATTTGCCGCAATGTCCACGAAACGATTTTAATGACGGTTGAAAAATATTTCTTGAAGCACCGAGACTACCCAGTCCGGCCCTGCCTAACCTACGTACCCACGAGTGAGGCTTGAGATTTATTTTTGTATTAAATTTTCAGTTATTTATTTTATAATGTACCAGTTACCAATTGATTATAATATTATACAATACGAAATTGGAACCGCAGGACGTATATTTTTATATTACGTTTATTATCATTGATTATAAATTAGTAGGTACTTATTAGTAACAYGGAGAAGACTGAGACGACATACGCGGGTACAACGTCCTCGCCGAACTAAATACATGCAACGAGTATTATGCATAATAATCATAGACAAGGTCTATGATAATAATATGCAAAACGTGTCGTCTATACGGGTGCCGCCATGGGCATTCCGATTTGTTTAATAACATTAAGGGACAATGTTTAGGCAATATGCGATTTCGCTGCCGCCTCCCATGGCACGYCTTGTGTTAGTCGTCAATGATGATTATTGCGTGTCTTTTGTGTGATTGTATATTTGTATGACACGTCATGTCAACRGCACCGCCGACGAAAGATGAAAAGCGTGGTTTTTCACTCAAAATRCGGTTTACAGGAAACCTAACCTCTCACGGAYTGTAGTGTTCTGATGGGAATAATTTTTCTGTTGTTAGAAATAGGACAATTTTCTACGGTGCGCGTTGGACTACGATTATTAATTTCTTTACTAGACATAATAAAAATAACAAAAGCTTGTGAAAATTGGTYATGTCGAAAATCGTATTATACGGTTTATGAACAGAATTTTGAAAACCCAAGTCCTATGCGCCCTGCGGGAAGTCTCATTCTTTCTAATGAAAAAAGTAATTATCGTGATCTGATCACTCTACGAGGCGTAGGACAACTAGGACATGTTTTAGAGTAAAAAAAAAAATAAGTCGCGCACGCCGCACAGGCCCCTTAATATGATGATAACAGTTTTAACTGAAAACATAACATTTTATGTTTTTCCATGAATCGGATGCATAAAATAGCAAACTTCCTATGAAGGTCATATTTTGATTAATATTCTCGTTCTGTGTATTTACTTTTTAGTACACTGAATGTTCTCCTCTTTTATACAAATAAACGTCTCCTTTAAATTGAAGCTGTATTAATATATTATACATCTAAAACCACATGACGTGTTGTTTGCGCCTTACAAAACGTATACAATGTGCCCAATGTGGCATAAATCATAGTACATTAATTTGTGTAGTGTGGTTATGTATTGTATTATGTAATTTTATYACATTAGAGTGAATTAATAAATTGGTTTTTATAAATTTTAAATATAAGAAAATTATCGGTGTAATGTTGGTAGTAGGTTGTTTACAGTATTTTAATAATTGTGAGTCGAGTTTGAAGAATATTTTGATATTTTATTATTTTACATACCTACTTATAAGTCATAATATCGTCATAACAATCGTGAAAACCCACAAGTAAACTTTGATAATAAATAGTTATTACCTTTAATGTAAAATAATAGGTAAATTCGATCTATTATAAGCTTCATAGTTATTACTTTGGTATTATACTAGTAAAACTTATAAATAGGTACACAACACTAAACACTGGATAGAACACAATATTACGCGCGTACCATTTAAATGTACGATTGCGTGTGTTAAATATGATTACACGATTGTGCCATGTTGACAAATTGAATAACACGATAACATAAATTCTAAGATAAATTCTATATTAAATTATCTCTTATTATTTGATCGTAATTTTGAATTCCCACTAATGACCAATACATCATAATAAAAGCAGTTACACGTGTGTGGTAGTTAAGTTACCTACTTATATCTACTGTAATAGCAATAATTACCATTATGGAACCAGTAAACGAACTACGTGTTATTTTGTCTGAAATAGAAAAACTTTACTCGTGATAATAGAATATAAATATTTAAAATATCGTTTAATTAATAAACGAAAAGATAATCTGATAAAATGGAGGTGTACCAGAAAAATCTGTTCAGCTACTATACTAACAAAATCAAATTACACAGTTCTGTMAATAAACGGCGATCACGAACATCTAATAGAAAACAAAATTGAGCTACAGGTATTTAAAAAACTGCTATAACTGTTGTTCGTTCACATATTATCAACTTTTACTATTATTTAGGTTTTAAGAGAAAATTGAATGCAGAAAGCTTCTGAATTCATATCTACAAGACCCTTAAAAATTTATGAGAACTAAATTATTAAAATGTCCGGTAGAAACTGTATGTAAAAATATTAAGTCCATAAGAAAAGCTATATACATTATCATTATACGTTGCATGTAGAAAACTAGAAAATCGTTTCCTGAATTTCCAAAATCTATAGATAGGTACTATATTTTTACAAATAAATGATAACATTATGTCTAATTTGACAACGTCGCAATTACTTTTACRTGCAATCGTGCATAATAGGTAATATCTTATCCACAATATTTATGTTCTATTGTAGTATTGTCCCATTAAAACTTAAAACGAGTGCAATCGTATTATGAAAAAGGTAAAATGCACGGCATTGCAGGCAATTATATTTTACCTATAAAACTGTAACTGCTACAGTACCAACTACTGAACATAAAATTTGTATTATGTATATTGTATACGTTTGTATAAGACGGAGACGACCTAAGCGAGTATATATAGTGTCCTTTTAATTAAAAACAATATTATTTGTATAGAAGTGGACCAAGATTTAAGAAATACAATAGACATAAATTACATAATAGATTATGTTATAAACATAGTATACTCGTACATGTATGATGCAAATAAAGCATAAAATTCGTGAATTGTCTATAATAATATATTGGTTTATTATTTAAAATATACAATATAAGTAAGGAGTAACTAATTTATAGGAAGGCCGTAGGCGTTTAATAAATATTATTTCGTATTACATATTTTAAACCATAGGTACACCTAATAGCCGTTTGAAATTTGAATGCAATACTAACATTATAAAAGTGCTTCATCGCATCGATTATACATAATATAATTCGTGATATAGTGTGAAATATATTATTTTCGATTTAGAGGAAGTAGATTTTTGCAGTGCTGTAAATATGGGGTTTCAAATAAGTTGATAATATGCCACTCTCAAAAAAATAAAATTTATATTATAACTCACCGTGATTGCTCCGATGAACGCGATCAACTTGAACTTTTATTTTTAACGAAACCATGATTGAAATAAACTATATATTATGTAATATATTGTATACTATCAAAATACATTATAACTATTTTTTAAACAAGAGCAAAACTATGTTATTCCCAGAAAACGGGTTATCGTCAACTACGAATGACGATGGTATTCAATGAAAATCGGCATAGCTGGTTTCCACAACAAGTATACCTTTCCCTTTTTCGCCAAATCATAATGAATTGGTGGATTTCCTTTTCTACCAAAACAATAATAATACTATAATCACTCTTTCACGAGGTCTTAAAACATTTAAATTCATAATCGTAATTCATGTAACGCATACCGAAGTACGATGTACCATTAACACAGGGTTTGTGTTATACATTTATAATATGATAATAACAATACGGATCACAAATAAATAATTACCTAATGTATTTACGATAAAATTTTTAATCTTGACGAATTTTGTTTAAATTTGAACTTCTATGGATARGWACSCCTGTAAAAATAAGTTAACTATAACCTAACCTGTGTCCTGTATGGGTGTATATTTTTAATATTTATTAATTTTGGTAAGAAAACGTTGCAATTATTATGAGGAACCTTGTATTCACATAAAATTATTTTTTTTTTACTCACAAACAAATATTTTATTTTTTAACATGCATCGAAAAAATCAAAAATCGTAATATTTAATTTAATAATTTATATATTRTGTTTTTTATCTATTTATTTGTCTAATTAAWAATTTGTACGCCTTTTTTATAAAACTAAGTTTTTCATTATTATTCAACAACTACCACGTGAGTTTTTTYATATGGCAAAAAGGGGAATTCACCTATTAATGATTTGGTGGAGAAGTGAATTATAGGAAATAGGAAGATATACTTGAGCGGAAACGGCCTAACAGGTAACTCCYGAATCTATGATCTATTTTGGGATATTATARTTTTATGAAATGGAAATAATACATTGTTATTCTTTTGTCAATGACGTTTTATTTTTGTTATTTATAATTGTTTACGTTGAATGTTAAACACATTCCTTCAATGACGAAATTGTAATCCTATTAAATATAAAATGTTGAATAATAAATAATGATTTAATTAATAATACAGTTCCTTATGAATTTTGTGGTTAAACAAAAAAAATTGAAAATGAAAGGCTGGAAAATGTCCTGCTTGTAAGTATAGGCGGACATTTTCTTCCGCTCAAAGGTCATCACACGGTTGTCAGAAAAAAAAGCCAGGGTAAAAAAATCCACGAAAACAAGCCACGGGAAAAGAAGTCAAATTACAATAATTAAATATACTTATAAGTTATAACCATTAAAATTAAAATATTAAATTAGGTATTATTTAAAAATTGTTTACACATTATTGGTCAAATATATAAAAAATAATTATAATTAAATATACAAAAAAATAAAATTTAAAGTATTATTCAAAATGTTTAAACATTGGTCATATTGTATACACTATACATAATACATTATACATATATATTATATATATACATATATATATATATATATATATATATATATATTAGGGTGTAAGTGCACAATTCGTGACTGATACTCAGATCTATGTTCGTTTACACGAGTATACTACTATAAAACTAAAAAGTCAAATGGTACATATTTATATTATTTAATTTTTAGTTTATGCCTATCTAGGCGGACAGGAAGCAATATACGGTTTGTTATTTAAGTAGAAACAAAGCTATAAGTAATTTTTAATTCAAAGCTAGGTAGGTTACATAGATTGTGCAAAGTGCACCTAACCTTTAAAATTCAATTTTTTTTTTAATTTCATTACTTGGTCACATTTACCATTATATAAAAATATATGAATTTTATTCCTTTATCGTTATATCCTTCGTACCTTCCGGTAATAGTTATTACTTATTTATGATAGTCGATATGGATTAAGCAAGCCTATCGACTTTTAAAAAAACATATAAGTGAATATTTTTCATATGATTTAATAATCGACCTATAATCGTCATTGATAAATAACAYCACACGGCAAATATAAAACCAAGTACAGGGAACCTTGTTGCGTGTACCATGATATGATTGCATTAAGCATAATATTTAAGAAAAGTATGATGAGGTGATAGAAGAATTATTTAGCCCATCACCATTCCAATTCGGATTYGGACAGCTGCTGCTTACTCCACTCGTACACGCCGCCCCGCTCCAGGAACGCTTTTTCGTCAAAACCGGAACCGCGGAGCGCGTCTTGAACGCCGACGTCCAGCAGCGACGCGGAGGGTTCCTTCTTGCCGTTGCGACAGTTTAGGAACCGCATGTACTCGTCAAGGATCAAATAACTATCGCGCATGGCGTCGTTGTTCTCGGGTACCAGCATCCGAACTTCAGCGTGCCGTCGCAAGAACCCGTCAAACTGTTCGTCGGTGATGTAGAATCGGGCGGCGTCACGCAATGCTCCCTCGCCGGCGTTCTCGCCCTCCAGCAACAGGCACTGGAACACCTTCCACCGGACCGGCCGTAACCGCTCAATGTGCTCGGCGAACATTTCGTTCACATTATACGTGTTGACCACCGTATTGATCTTGAACGCGATCTTGTGCTGTCCGCACCACTCACGTACCTTGTACAGCTTTGCCACATGATCGGTTCGAGCGCCCTGCCGCCGACCGATCGCCCGGTTCGTGTCAGCGTTGAACGAGTCGCATGACACGGCCAGAATGTCCACGTGCTCGCCGTACTGCTTCATCCATTTCTCCTGGATCAAGCTGCCGTTACTAACAATCGAAATGCTGATGCCCGCCCAGCTCAGCTCCGTCTTGCAGTATTTGATGAGTTCGCCCATGAAGCGGCCGCCGTCGCGGATGAACGGCTCGCCGCCCGAAAAGTTTAGTTTTTTCATGCCGGCTTCGGCCAGCATGGTCAACCCGCGCTTCGCCACGTCCAGCGGCAGCACGAACGACGTCTTCGCCGTGTGGAAGCAAAATCCGCAACTGTAATTGCATTGGCGCGTGAAATGGTAATTTACGCTAAGCGGTACGGCGGGTTCATCCGTGTCGGCACTCCTGTTCCACGTGACGGCCGGAGCGGCCACTGCGCCCATCAGCGCATCGATTACGGACGCCAAAGCTCGGCACACCACGTCCCACGCAGATCTCATCATTTTCAAAAGCTGCATGTTCACCACGGCAATGGCCATCGTCAACGCGCGTGCAGCGTCTCGCTGGCCCGTTACAGTAACGCAGCTATAATATCCGAACAAAAATGTTCCAAACAGCCGAACGCTGCTGACTAGCTCTCGTCGTGGGCTTATGTATATCGTCAAGCCTACAACATTGAGTGGGGAGCGGCTGTGGACCAATCGCGTTACCACAGTGTTCACTAGCAAAATTCTAAACCGAAACCTAATTGTATAGCCTTGCGTAGATATTGAGTAATAATTATGGTTTGAAGTTAAACAATAAACTTCTTTCTTGAGGTATGGATGGAGAAAAAAATCGTCACGAAAAATGAAGCGCCACGAAAGAATGAAACGTGACGAAAAAATGAAACGGTGTAAGAATGCGTGTTAAATAATATTATTCAGTGTGTATTTTATGTGCTTTTTTTTCGTACTGATTTTTTTCACTCCTTCAGTCCTTCCCTATCTCACTCATGATTTAATGGACCCAATACTTATGAAAGAAGTTTTACTTCCCCAGAGTGTAACTCACACACTCTCTTTTTTATAGAGTTKCTTTTTGACACCATTCCCAGATGAAAAATCTGCAGGATAACCGCGCGCCAGCTGATTAGGAATATTTTGATTAACACTTTAAACTGAAGTGAAAAAACTATTTTATCTCTCTTTATCGTAATCTGAATCATCAATTACTATATTATATTACCTGTAGAATAACTTATTTAAATTACGCATTTATTAGTTAATGTGCAATATGTGAAAAACCATTTTTTTCTGATATGGTTTTACTCGACTTAAAAGTTTGAATAAAAAAAAACAAAAGTTTTAAGTTTTGGTTTTGGTTTTTATATATTTGACGACACTACATTTTAGAAGTAGATAAATGACTMGATTATCAATATAAAGATTGGTTACCCAGTAGGTAACCAGTAGGTTCAGTATTACAAAAGTCGAAAATTCCCGGAATTTTTCWAAATAATCGGTAAATAGAGACACATTTGGTGTCGAGTATAACTCAATAAAAATTGAGTGAGGCACAGTAATGTAGTGTTAAATTCGAATTCAATGATAAATTACTTCAGACAAATGATTCTGAATGAAAACGGTCGGGTCAGTTATATTATATATCACTAAGTATTTTCATATGTTTTTAATTAAATTATAAATAAACTTTGTTAATCCACATAAACAATAAAATTATTACCTAAACGAATTTGCATCATGGGCCATGGCCTGTGTGTGGCTTTGATAATACATGAAAAGAAAAACAAATTTTYCTGTGAAAATTATTACTTGTTGACTTCGGCAACAGTTGCGCAAATTCATTTTTATCTTTTGGTAAAAAAAAATTACTGAAATTTTCACAAAATGTTTAATTTATCATTTTCTATTCGTGATATAATTTTCAAAATATTTTAACTCGTTTTGAACTATAGCAAAGTGATACGAGAAATCTTAAGTATTTGAAAATACGGTCTAAAGATGTATTTATAAAATTGGAAAATCAGAATTTAAATAATAAATGCATAATTTAAGCATAAAAATAGGACGAATTTGCTTGAAAAATCAGCTTATGTTTTTCAAACTAGAGTGAACCTAGTACTATAGGAACTACATATTTGTTCTATTATAGTTACTATCGATCATATAATGCATTATTGTTTTAATTCGAAATAAATTATAACTTCCGATATGTTTTCCATGAATACCATAAATTATTATATATTAATATACAATTCCTTATATTTTAATACCTTAATTATTTCGGTGTAGTTAGATTTAGATACCTACATATATACCATTGTTTTGTTTGCTAACTGCAGTTCAGTATAATATATGTGTACTGTTAACTTTTTAGATAGTAGAAGTCTGTTTTGTAATTGAACAACATTGAGTCATAACAAAACAAATTTATTGTCCGTAAATATTTACATATAATATGTTTCATGTTTGTGTAGTTTACGATTTCATTTTTACCTAGATAAATTATTAATCATTATRTTGGCCTAGTTCATGGCTATAAAATTATTAATAAAGTAAAATATATCATTTGTAAATTGTAGGAAAACAGTAGTTCCTAATCCTCCAACCATCATTTAGTACACCACAGTAAATATTATGTTACACACTAATGCTGACATGTTATTGCCAAACATCAAAATTGTTAAATGTTGGTACTTAGTTTCATTGTTTTTATAATTATTTTATGAAATTAAAACTAAAATGCATAAATACGRAATTTAATATTTTAATTAGTTATATCACTTATATTATTATATTATAATATTATTATAATAGGTACATGATTACGACATGACGATTATTATCATAATTGTTATTTTTATTAAAAAATAATCTAAGATTCATTTAAATGTTGCACGATTAGGTATAAAGAATAATACATAATATCTTTATCATCGTGAAACGTAAATGCTAATATTGAGATAGCTAGTACCTACATAACGATGACGGTTAGGGTTAGTAGTCTAGACTATAGTATAGACAGTTGGTATATATTTCCTGACTTCTAGATTGTATGATTATGTTAAGCCAAAAAAATACATATGTATTTTAATTTCAAACAATACACACTATGTACTTAATAAATGGAAATATTATTTTAACTAATAATTTAACTTTGTGTTATTTTWAYACTATCATACTTTCAAGTTTTAATTCTTATCAAATATAATTGTTTTTTACTTATTATACATATTATATAGTTTATTTTTATTTAAAAGGCAAATTTACAATCTATAAAATTTGCACAATAACTAAATGTATAATGAACAATAATATTGTTTTTATTTCTTTACCTTATTTTTTTCATAGCACATGTTATAATGCATAACATTATTTTATTTTCCATTTATATAGAATCATTTGTATGATTGTATGCCTTATAAACAATATCAACACATATTATCACAATACACGATTATACAAAAAATTACCGACACACCCATTACAACAGTAGAGTTCAGTATAATATTCTATAGCCACTAAGTATTTATATCTATACATGGCACATACAGACATAATATAGCAGACACAATACACTAATACACTGTATATATATAGACTATATATACGGATACTTAATGTATATGAATACTTAAGGCACTGTTAAGGATAATATTAACATTTAAACAAATATATATTATATATTTTGTATTTTTCATGTATATTATAAATTATATTTAAACAATAAGAATACAGGTCACCTGCCTATATAATGTTATGTTAAGGTTTAAAACTATATATTTTGTACCTAAGTACAAGAAGTGCGTTTTATACATTTAAATCAATTAGTTGTAATACCGTCAGATTTGATTTTTTTTTCTCAAACAAAAATTTTCTGTTTGAGTTATTGCGGTATTTGGGTACAGGCGTAGGTACAGATCGTAATGCACTTCAATATTTACAAATTTAGAACTAAATAATAAGGAATGAAATCGTCACATGCAGTAACACAATCTTCCTCGTGTAGTATATTTTGAATGCTTAATACACAATCGGTTAAAGTAAAAATTAATACTTATAGAATCAAATGATTATTAAGGTCCAGCCATTAATAATATAATCAAATTCGTAGACTATGGATATTGAATTAATTTTTATTTGATGTTCAATATTGATTGAATGCAGTGGCGTACATAAAGATGAGACCTCGCGAAATTACAGTGTCGTAACTGTAATATATAGTAGCCTCTAGGTGCTAGATCATTTGTTTGTTGCTATTTATCATAGCCCACCCAGAAAATTATTTCCATATACGCCACTGATAGTATATACTATATACATAACGGCCATAACGCATGTATTAAAATATTTTACATTATAATATATTATATAATACGTTAYTATTTATAATATTATTTGCTTATAAATCAATATCAYGTATAGTACTTTATAACGGTGAATATACGGGTTGTGGTGTAAATAATTTGTTGACATTACTCCGTCATGTCAAAAAGTTGCATTTAGCGGCGTGCTCATGTGTCTATATATTAAGGAACAATATTTATGCAATATGCAACTTTGTTGCCGCCACCCATAGCATTTATGTAAGTACGCATATAAAAAAATGTTTGTAGCTTTACACTTAGCTTTTTTTTTAATTCCAGTAAAAAGTTATGCATTTTTAACAATTAACTATAATTACCATTTTTGTGATTTAGACAAATTTTGTAAAAATATATAAAAAAAGTGTGATTCGTGACTAACTTTCGATATTTTTTAACTGCTATAAGAACAATTTATGAGCCACGAAGACCCATGCATGTTTTTTACGATAATTTAATTTGTAAGCAGGTATAATGAGCAATTAAATATTGTAWTTTAAAAATGCTCATAACTTTAAAATATAATATATATTTTCAAAGTTATACATTTCTAAGATGGAGACGACAGATGCGRCCTCCAATGGTTAATTAAAAATGTGTACACTTAAATACTTACTAAGCCACTAAGGTAACGTGACCAATATAATACGTCCCGCTTTCGAGATAAGTGTCCCGCCGTCCCCAAAGAACCTAAAAATGTCCCGTTTTAAGAAAAGTCGACATGTGGTAGGTATTAATTAT